GCCTCCCCGCCGGAGCAAGGGGGCAGGAACGATGCGAAAAACAAAGTGACTCACCAACGGCGTCTGCTCGGCCGGTGTTAGCCGGGGAGAGCGGGGCGCGCGGGCAAGCGGTTGCGCTACCGAAAGGTCGGAGGCGCGAAAGAACTGTGTGCACGACCGCTCGGGGGCGGCGCGCAAACGGAACTTGACGCGTGCGCACCGATCTGCATGTCTTATATAGCCCGGTCCAGCGACGTAGCTTCGTGAACAACAAACAAGTCTCACGCCGGGAAACGAAACGTAGATAATTGTATATTTTAAATAGTTTTCATTGGTCATAAAATAAGCAATATAATTGGCTAGGCAAAATATTAATTGTTACCATTGGCAAATCAATAGTGAGCCAGCCATATAAATATAGGCAAGGTTGATGCAAAATATATTCCATTCCGAATCCCATTCGACAGTACATTCATAAACATAAACAGTAGTTTCATTTCTCCACCTTAAAGAAAACCACTCGGAGTCTGTTAATAGTGGACAGTTCGTCTCCACTATTACACCATTTTACTGTCCCGTGATTCATATATGAACACTTTAATTGTTTAACTATTGTGCCTTTTTCGTGGATATGCTTCTTTAATATTTATTCAGGTCGTCACTCCATATATCCGGTGGGGGATAGCCCAACACTTTCCTTGCCAGTATGCTGACATTTGAGAAATTTTAATGCCCATTGGTCTGGAGGATAAATCAGCCACTGTACTTTTTCTGCGAATACGGTTCTTACTTTTTTTTGTTACTCAGAAAAACTCCAAGCTTACTCCATAAATCGCTTAGAAGGTTAACGCTTCAAACCAAAACAATATACACAATAGTAGATTCTTTTCTCCTTACGGTCGGATCATGTTTTCTTCTTCGACTTATTTACTGGCCCTTAAAATTTCACTGCTGGATATGTAATTCTCTGGTTGTAGCGAGGATTAGCTTCAATCGTCACACATGTAATGCATATAGACGAGCGCAATACGCGCAATGTCCCGTACCTTCTATGCTATGCCATATTTGGCATTTTTTATAGTCTCCACTTACGACACCCTCGTGACTAAACGGTATGGACACGTATAGATATTGTACATATCTATATAACATAACATACACATCCAAACCAATAACTAAGCACATGGAATACTGTTCCCTTCTACGGGCTGGGGCTCCCCAGTACCAGCTCCTTTCATTTTATCGCATCCATCGTTGCGACTCGACGAATCGTTGGCGACCGAGCTCTTTCCTATCGTTTGACTCACTGGTACTGCGAATAAATATTGCATCTCTTTGCGTATTTTATCGCATCTACCACAGGGAGTGCACTGAGGAATTGGTCGGACTAATTCCAGCCGCACAATTTCACCGTCGCACATCGCGACTCGCGATACCATCCATACCATTTGGACAACCGGTAGTACACCACTGTGCGATTTAAAAGAAGTTTTCTTCCTCGCACAAATTTCTTGTGGAATCAAATACCACCTTATTCTTCCGGACCGATACGACTTAGGGACCTTCAAGAAAATAGCCTACTCCTTTTTAAAAGGCCGACAAAGCATCTGCAATTCACTTGGTGTTGCAGTTGTTCATGGGCAGCGGTAATTATTTACCACCAGATGAGTCGTATGATTGTTAGCCCCTTCTACTATAAAATAAAATAAAAACATCCATTCCAAAATTATTAATATATTTTAATCAGGGGTTCAGTATATAGATCAAAAAAAAATATATATTTTATTTATGGCAACTATCGTTAATATGGACCAATAAAAAATATATTAAAATATAAAATAATTATATCATTTAGGTTTAATTCTACAATATATTTGCAATACTGGCGTATAATGCGATTAACGCTCACTAATATTTACGCAACAAGATATTCCCATAAGGGTTAAGTATCATAACGTAACTCTAAGGGCGTATAAATATTCATACCCTTATCGGAAAAGCTTAGTGTAGCTTATATTACGTATATTGCTTTGGTTCAGTGTTCTTTATTTTAATTTAAAAGGACTGTGGATACCATTTTTTGAAAAACGCTTTATTTTAGTCCAGATAATTAATTTTGTAACAGATAACTTTTTGACTACGTGCTAGTTTGTCTTTTAATATAAGTGAATGTTACAAACGAACACATTCCTTTTATGGTGAACAGATTCTCTCGATTCCTCGATTATGAATTGAAATGCAGATTCGTTACAATCCTACATGGTAGAGCCATGCTGCAACCATATTAATTGTATAAATGTAGCACAAATGGGTTGGCTCGACTGGGGAAGGACCACGCTCTCAGTGAACACCGGCGTAAAATAGTAGCTGCTGTGTTTTTATGGTAAGTGTAGAGAACTGGGAACCCATTTTACTGGAAAAGAGGCATTCCATCTAAGTCCTCACGGCTGAAAATGCATCTGCATTTTGATTCGCAAGTGAGGAAAAATGTAGATGTCTATGGGCCACAGCAACCAATTACCATCAGGTGGACTATGTGCTCGTTTTCATCCTTATTTTATAAAAAAATAACCCCTGCGGATTAAAATAGAATGCTTCGTTACTAGTATAATGGTATAAAAAACACCGCAGTATTGTACTGCTATTTTATTTCGTTATTCTATGCCTGTATGGTCCTTCTTTGTAATAGTCGAATTAAAATATTTGATTAATTATGATAGTAGGTAATAATGGCTACTACTTGATATAAGCTTTTCTAAGAATGAACCAATGTATCACTACCTTTAGAAAGCCACAAGTTTTTCAGGCAATTCAAAGGCAGACGAGCATGCGGCTCACCAATTTAATTATTTCATTAATTATTTCCTTCAAAATATCACAAATACGACTTTATACTTTGTCTTTTTAATTTTACGAATAATAAATAAAAATCGTCAGACAAATATTTACACATACCGTTACAGTTAAAGTCTATAAAAGTCCATTATTGGACATAGGCCACCCCATAGTTTTACCACATAGGGAGGTATTTGCCATAGTTGCCACGCTTGGCCAGCCGGTTGGCAACCGCAGTTTATTTTTATTTTAGTCGTTATTAGAGAGACGCTGCTGCTCATCTCCTGATTTGTTTCCCTCTGTCGTCTCTTACAACACCCATGGGATGATGTGGGGTAGTGGATATTCTTACACCGCTACTACACGGCATGTAATATTTATATATGCTTTAATAAAAAAAATAATTACTAATCAGTGACCTACGTGACTTGTGTAAAAATTAAATACTTTTGTGATACATATCGTAGTTTATTATTGTATTTTTATATTATTATATGTCCCGTTATGAGCAATTAATGCAAGCAATACGAACACGAACATTATAATACATGATGTCGTTCAATATGAAGAATACACTATTACATCAAAAACATTTTTCGCACCGTAGATTATTTATAAAACATTGAAGCTCCTGCCTTAATATTAATGCCTGTACTATTTTATATAAATTGCCTACGTTAAACTGCATTCACTTGTAGCGGCGCTGTCGTCGCGCCACGAGCAAAACACAATAGCCTAAATCGCGCTATCAAAGTTCCGAAGCAAAACATTTTATATAGATAGCTCCGAATTATTGTATTTTTGTAATTCTATGCTGAATTGAAAACGGGGTTTTAGGTTTAAAGAGTTAATATGTCCGCCTCACTGTTCGAAGCACGTGGCGGACTTCACAGGACTTCAAAATATTTTTTATTTATCGGAAATAAACGTTTCTTACGTTTTCTTTCATAGCCAAGCACATGGCAAGTCAAGGATGTGACTTTTTAGATAGATTGTACAAAAGGTTATGACAATTCTGGAATATGCAAGAAACATATTTTTACCTTTATATTTATTGTACTAATATATACATAATATATTTTCATTAGTTTATTTATTTAGTTTTTATAGAAAAAGAATGGCAAACGAGAACACAGTCCACTGTATGGCAAGTAGATACTGTGGTCCACAGATATCTTCATCTATTCTCGAACAAGAATCAAAATACACACGGGTTGTCACTTCTGAGAACAAAGATGGAATGCGTCGTATCCAGTAAAAAGGTCTCATATTCTATATAAGTGATGGAAACAGCAGAATTAAGCTTATATTTCACGCTGGAGTTCTGTGAGAGCTTACTGCATCTCTAGTCAAACCATTACTGCTACAACTATAATATAGCTGCAGCGTGGCCCTGCCACGTAAAAAATTTGTATGTCAGTAAAATTGCTGTTATTATTGTAGTCGGTAGCACTTTAAATAGGGTAATGAATTAAAAATATATATTTCCTTAAATATAGTAAGTGCATTATTGTATGTATAATTATTGTTTGTACATCTGCTAAATATTCAAATTCCACACAAAAATTTATCGTAGTCGAAGTCGATTGACTTGTCGGTAGTAGGTACGTACATACTTTATAATCTTTACTGCTGAATAGCATCTAAAGCTTATTTTGTCGCTTTTTTATCTTTTTTTTTTGAATTTACCAAAGAAAGGTGAACATCTAGAAAAATAAGTGCTGACAAGCGAAGCTTGCATATAAACGTATAAAATTAATGTATCCTAGCAGTATAAAACACGTTAATGATGTTAGTAAAACGAAATATAAATATTTTGACGTCAAAAAATGAAGTATTATTTTTTTCTATTCATAGAAAAAGGGTTTTCTCACTGATATGATTAAGACCTGATAGTAACAACACAAAATTTTAAGTGAAATAATAATTAACAAATAAAGTGTTTTGTTATGATCTGATAACGGGTGTGATAAAGTACTATTACAATAAGTTTCATTTTATTTAGTATAAAGATCGACAGATTGGACAGGCGCTACATTACATAAGATCAACACTGTTAACAATTAATAATTTTAATCAAAGTTTTTAATTTACATACTTATAATTATAATATAATTTACTGAAGTTCAGAGTACCGGACGCCGGGGCCCCTCAGCACGCAGCTCTTTGAAACTAAAAACCGGAAATTACTCCGCGTCGTGTCGTTTTCCCTTAATTCCTAACGATTTGAAATTTTGATTGTTGGCATAAATTAAACTATGCTGCTGTAAAAAGTGTTTTATATTAACTTATAAAATATATTAAGGCTTAAATTAAATCATATTATTTATTTTTAAACTATTATATGGTGGTAGGGTACCCTGTCTGCCAAGGAGTCATTTCCATTGTTTTGGAGAACAAGGAGGTGATGGCGATAGGCCGGTAGTTTGACGGGTCTGAGCGGTCGCCTTTTTTAGGAATCCGTTGGACGAAAGCCGAATTCCATGATTTGGGGACTACGCCTAGGGAGCAGGAGTACCGGAAAATACGCATTAAAACTGGTGTCAACTCTGGAGCACACGTTTTCAGCACAATTGGGGGGATTCGTACAGGCCCACTCGACTTGTGGATGTCCAGGGAGAGGAGTGCTTTGTGAACCAAGCGCTGTGTGGTGCGGGAAGGTGAATGATCCTCCACATCCGGAATCCGCGTTGGAGAAATAACCAAATAACCATCGTCACCATCATTAACATAGTCATCGTCATCGTCATCGTCATCATCATCATCGTCATATTCATCATCATCGCTATCGTCATCATTATCGTCATCGTCATCATCATCGTCATCGTCATCATCGTCATCGCCATCGTCGTCACCATCGTCATCTTCATCATCATCATCATCACCGTCATCATTTTCATCATTACCATCATCGTCATCATCATCGTCATCGTCATCATTGTCGTCGTCGTCATCATTGTTATCATCACCATCATTGTCACCATCGTCGAAATCGTCTTCGTCATCGTCATCACTATCGTCATCGTCGTCATCATCGTCATCATTGTCATTATCACCACCATTGTCACCATCGTGAAAATCGTCTTCGTCATCGTCATCGTCATCATTATCGTCATCTCCATCATCGTCATCATCGACATTATTGTCATCATCATCGAAATCGTCATCGCCATCGACGTCGTCATCATCGTCATCTTCATCATCATCGTCATCATTTTCATCATCACCATAATTGTTATCTTCATAGAAATCTTCCTCGTCATCGTCATCATCATCGTCATCGTCATAGTCAACGTCATCAACATCGGCATCAACATCGTTATCGGCATCAACATCGTCATCGTCATCAACATATTCATTGTAATATAATATAGAGATTGCAAAATTGGATGTTTTTGAAATCAGAATTTTTGAATTTTTCTATGATTAAAATTCGGATAATCCGGATTTTTCAAAGTTTTAGGGTGATTTGATAAAACTGAAATGAAAAAAATAAAATCTAAAATCTGCATTTATTCTGACACGACGGAATAAAATCAACCAAAATAAACAAAAACCGAGTAGTGGCGGGTAAGCATATCCACTACCCCATATCTTTCCGTGGGTGTAAAAGGCCACAGAGGGAAGCAGGCAGAAGATGGGCAGCAGCATCTTCCTGATCATCGTCATCATCGTCATCATCATCATCGTCATCTTCGACATTATTGCCATCATCATCGAAATCGTCATCGCCATCGACGTCGTCATCATCGTCATCTTCAACATCATCGTCATCATCGTCATCATTTTCATCATCACCATCATTGTCATCATCGGATTAGTAAGTTGAAGTGGCAATGGGCCGGCCATATAGCTCGAAGAACCGATAACCGTTGGGGAAAAAAGGTTCTCGAGTGGCAGCCTCGTACCGGTAGACGAAGTATAGGGCAACCCCCACTAGATGGAGTGACGACCTGGTAAGACATGCAGGAAGTCGATGGATGCAGGTGATTCAGGACCGTGCTTTGTGGCATACCTTGGGGGAGGCCTATGTTCAGCAGTGGACTTGTAAAGGGCTGTAATGATGATGATATAGCGTAAACCGACGCCACAAAAATGTACGTGCTGCAGCCCGTACAGGCTCCCGGGATGACATTAAAACTAATTACAAGGTGATAAACATTTTGGCTTAAAACTAGTTACAAATGATTGATGCAAAATAAATAATAACAGTTTATTTAGACACCCGTGTCCGTGATAGTAAACACCGATTGAAGCACTGGTTAGGTGCCACGGTTTTGTTTTTGTTTACGCGAGTTCTTAAATTTTTCATTTAATTCTCTAGTAATGTCACCACTGTTACACTGCACTGCACTTGTTTGCAACTCTACATCTACAAATTGCACTCCACTATTACAATGCACTTCACTACACTTATTTTGTACGCGATCGCGGCCTGCACGCCTCCGCACGCGCTGCCACACGTAGAATCCTCCGAACACCCCAGCCGTTATAATCACCAGTCAGAGGACGGTGTAATGGTGAATGTCGTGATAGGATACACCTGTTGCTAACGGCTCAGTCTGTTTCATGAGATCCAATTGTTCTCGTATGGCAAGCAGTTGTTGTTGGCTGATAGTCTCCAAGCTCGTACTGGCGTTCATTTTCGGTATCGAGATATTTATTAAATGATTAATCGAAGCGATCTTTGGTATACCAATGTCAGGCTTTAAATTGATTTGAGATGCATCCAAAATGGAAATCAGCTGATTTGATAAGGCAGTCCTGTCCCAGCGTAATAAGTCCGGCGTCACTCAATTGAATAGCCGTAACTTGATGTTCGCATAACAACTTGAAGTAGCATTTATTACAACAGAAATAAAAGTAGTTATTGAGTTTACTTGTTGCAATGAAAATATTTTTGCAGGTGTTAATGATCGTTCTACAGCTTCCAAGTCCTTCATCCTTCTTACACAAACTATTATCATTGATCATATGATGAATAGGCTTCTTGAATCGACACAACACAGTATTTAAATCTCGATCAATACAGTCATGTAAATCAGTAAATGATAGCGACAGACACGAATCCTTGTTTAAGTTTAAAGCGAGATATTCGCTAATATTGTTTAGGTATGGGAATTGCTTCAAGGACTTCGTAAGCGTCTCGTGCTAATAATGGTATTCGGATTTCGAAAATAAGAAAGGACTTCGATAAGCGTGCTTTTACATTAAGTAATTTGTATATATTTGAATAATTCGCGTGATCGGTAGGTAGTGATAGGTCTTTAGGTATCTGAGTAGAGATGGCACTTAATTCGTGTTGGAGTTGCTTGGGGGTTAGGAGATGAATATCATACTTCCCGTGAAATACGTCTGTGATAGTTTCTATAAGATAAGTTTATATTTCTTTTAACTTGTTCAAAATGTTGTTTGTAACTATAGCGGCCAAGATAAATTCGTTGATATATGAGTTATTTGAGAATTGTGACTTTAGTACGTTCATCGATTGTTCAAGTTCGATCATCTTTTTATTGACTGTTTTATGATGCTGTTCCATGATCGACTCTACCCTCTTGATGACATTGAACTCCGCTTCTACGACTGTAGTTTGATTCTTCCACAACTTGGCTAGGTGTCCTTGTTTTTTTTAAGTCGATATCTTTTTCATACTTTTAAGCAAAGTTGCTGTGAAGCACCCCAAACAACGCGTTTGCGATACTACCTACAGCATTGATTAGTCCCCTGCGCTTACGTGTGAGTAGGTTGCCCTTATCTTGCAACATGATATTGTAGCGCCGTAGTTCCGACCGCTCGTGATTCAATTGATACATGACACCCTCGCAGTGTGAATGCCCTCTTATCTTCGAACGAAGATGGTTTCTAGGTATTCCATGTACTTCGAGTACGCGGCGGTGCCTTCCCAATATGGGTAGAGATCATAATAGACAACGAGATTCCAATCGTCAGCTATCAAATGCATGTTTACAATCTTGTCGAAAAATAGGCTATATTATTTTTCAGTTTATTTATAGTATATAGTCCGCTAGTATTAGTTATAAGGGTCATAAAACATAATAAGATAGAAGTTGCAACTGTAATGAAACTGTATCTTCTATTCCTTTGTTTTATCTTACTCTTCGTTGGATTTTCTTGCTTTAATTCTTGATCTTGTGTTTCTTCGGAGATGATAGGGAGTATTGATAGTTTGATAACGGGTCTTTTCATATATCCGTTTTTTTTTGTTTTTAACGTTACAACACGCACGTAGTCGTCGTTACCAGGGTGCAATTCGACCACACTACCGAGGGCCCATTTGCCTGGAGGAGGGTTACCATCATTGATGAGTACGATGTCATTTAATTTTATATTTTCTTGAGGTTGGCCCAGGTAGACCGAGACTAACTTTCGAAGACCATGTGAGCAAATTCCTCGAAGAGGGGAAGGTCAAGAGTACTCGGATACCTAAACGTGCATGTATGAAGAAGTCAATGAACCTGAAAGAAGCGAAAGAGGTATGTAAGGATCGTGACACCTGGCGATCTGTTCTCTCTGGCTACCCCGTTAGGGATTGTGCGTAAAGATAAGTAAGTAAGTAAGTTCTTGAGGTTGACGCCACTTGCTCCGGGCTGATAGATTTGTTAAATATTCTTGTTGCCACCTTTTCCAAATGTCTTGGAATATTTTTTTGTGTTAAATGCCACCTAGTCCTAAGATCTCGTTCCGTCTCATAAATTGATAGAATCGGACCGCTTGATAGAAAATGTGATGGGGTTAAATAATTTAAATCATCAGCGTCCTCCATCAACGGACATAGTGGTCTCGAATTTAAGCAAGCTTCTAATTGTGCTAGCAGCGTGCTGTACTCCTCGTAGGTGAGTTTTTGATCACTAACCACCCTCCTTAAATGATACTTGAGGCTTTTCACGACTCCTTCACAAAGACCATTGGCTGACGGCCACGAAGGTGCATTCAAGTGCCAATTTATACCCATCTCGGACACTTCTGAGAGGAACTCATCACCAAATGTTTTGAGGAGCTCTTCGTATTCCTGCTGTAAGACCTTGTTGGCTCCTATGAAGTTCGTGCCATTATCGCTATAAATGTGGTTAGGTTTGCCAAGGCGAGATGTCATTCTCCGTAACGCTGCTAAGAATGCAGTACTTGTCAGGTCAGACACCAACTCCAAATGTACAGCCTTTGTGGCCATACACGTGAACACAACGATATAACCTTTCGTAGTTTTGATCTCACGGCCTGAGTCAGCTTTGATGAACACGTGGCCCGTGTAGTCTACAGCGACATGATGGTAGGGGCGTGAAGGGTTTGCTCTAGCTGCTGGAAGGTCACCCATAATTTGATAGTGTTTGGATGGTTCGTGCCTTCTACATTTGATACAGTGACTTAATCTCTTCTTCGTAGCTCTGTTGCCACCGACGATCCAGTACTTTTGTCTCAGGTTGGCTGATGTTAGCCGAGCACCACCATGGTATGTCATTTCATGCGCCTGATCTATAAGAAGCTCAACAAGGCGACTGTTGCCGGGTATAATGATAGGATTTTTCATGTATGGGTCCAAATTGGCATTTCGCAACCTCCCACCGACTCTCAATACTTCATCTTGATCAATATACGGATTTAGTTCACAAATGTTGCTTTTTCAATTTATTTTATTTCCTTGCTTTAAATCTGATAACTTTCTTGCAAATCCCGTTTGTTGTATATTTTTGATAATTAATAACTTAGCTTCTTTCAACTCTCGTACTGTTAAATATTTTATATTTTGTCCTTTTTTGATAGTTAAAAATCTCCGAATCCATGCAACTATTCTTACCGCTTTGTTAATTGTACTATATTTTAATAGGATTTCTTGAATGATAAAATCCGGTTGATGTTATGCTACTAAAATTGGTTTTGATAATTTTAATTCTTCGTTTGTTGTAAAAGCGATCTTATGCCCTTGATCATATATGTTGATAGCCAAGTCGGTCCCAGCCACCACAAGGTCTAAACTTTGAGTTGTGATGCAGTTAGACCACGACTGGCACAGTCGGCTGGATTTTCTTCCGACTTAACGTACCTCCAGCAGTCAGGTGGCATATTTTCGGTTATTGTACGAACTCTATTTGCCACAAACGTTTTCCATCTGGATGGTTCTCCGTTGAGCCACCCCAGTACTACTATGGAGTCAGTCCAACCATATATTTTGATATTGTACCCATTAAGGCACTCTGCGACTTTACCCATTAGCTTTGAGAGGAGAAGTGCTCCGCTCAGTTCCAACCGCGGTAACGAGACTGTCTTGCAGGTTGGTAAAAGTCATTAACATCGTCATCGTCATCGTCATCAACATCGTCATCGTAATTGTCATAATCATCATCATCGTCATCATCATCGTCATTTTCATTATCATCGTCATCATCCGAAGGTTTTTATTGTAAATTACACTACATACATTTTTAGAACCTAAGTAATGACTAAGAGGTAGCTGAAATTAACCTATTTATTATTGGTTCATATAACTCGAAAAAATATTGTTTCAAATATTATTAAGTAACTCCGACTTGCAACTGCGCGTAATTTAATAGAAAATCTACACTCTAGATAACCAGTCACATTTCTCGTACAGATTTGTTAAGTTTGAACCACTTTCACAATAATTTGATTTTACATTTGATTGATTTAATAATGTTTTAGTTTTTACTGTGACAACTACTAAAAACTGAAAAAGAAAACTGACAAACTCATAAAACAATCGATATTTGCCATAATGGTCAAGCTCTGTACGCTGAAACCTGTATTTGTACTTATTAAATCAATTAATTTTTTTATTTAAATAATCTCAATTTCAATTCAAATACAAGTGGTTCAAAAATTAAAAAACGATAGAAACTTTTGTAAAAGGCAATTATGTATATATGGTAACGGAATTCTTATGAAATCGTTCAAAAGATGTTGATTTAATGTAACGAGTAAGAGCTTTGTTATCAAAAGTTGAAACAGGTTACTGCTATGTTTAAACGCGATGCAATTGCGATTGCGATTGATTGAAAAAATGCGATTTTTTCGGACCGATACGACCTAGGGACCTTCATGAAAAGAGCTTACTCCTTTCTAAAGGGCCGGCAACGCACCTGCAATTTCCCTGGTGTTGCGGTTGATCATCGGCGGCGGTAGTCACTTAGCATCAGGTAAGCCGCGTGCTCGTTTGTCCCCTCTTCTATGTAAAAAAATTTACTTCGTTTTTTACGTCATTATATTATTCGAGATATGTCGGGATATGTAATATATTTGTCCAGTGTTATTTAAGGCATAGACGTAAAGTTCTGTCAAGAAGTACGTACACTGTGTACTACAGTGTGTAGGTTTTATACAAGCGTTTCGCAGCGCACACAGTGAGAGGTTAATTCTACAGTCGCACACAGAAACAATAACGCGATGTTGTACTGTCGGCGAGGGCATATTATTTTCTCTGTCAGCTCTACTGTGGGTAAATCATGGCTAAACCGTGGCGCTTGCATATGTGCGTTGCGCGACGCTTATATTATGAAGTAAGTTCCATACTTTCATTCACTCTGATATCTGTATGTCACATTTCATGACTTGTGGACTTTGTGGTCTAGTGATCATAGTAACATGCTCCTACTCGTGGGTCCTGATTTGCTTGATTTTAGCCGTAGCCAATATTATTCTACAGGAAAACTAATTATAGCTGCCTTTGTCACTAACACTGCATCCCAATATACTTCTAATCTAATCACAAAAATTCTATGTTTAAAACCAGTAAAGAAGACATCATGTGTCAGATTATTAATGAATAGATCTGAGTAAAAATTGACGTGCACCTGAGTTCTATTCTATTTATCACGAGTACGACCGCGATAAACATCGTGATGGCTACATATCGATAGAATATTACCTTTTTTTATTTAATAAGCCCTTGCTTGAATACAGTTCTACCATATGGTAAGTGGTGATGCACCAGGAGATGATAAATCGCACACACTTATATTAACAAAAGCCTTTTCACGCTTGCCTTAAAGACACCCACATAGTAATCGGATGTAAAAACAGATGCTGGCAAATTATTCCACTCTTTTGCCGCAAATCCGTTTTATCTTTGGTCTTTCTGTGGAGAAATCTTTTACCGGGTGCTTCTTTTGCAAAATGTTCAGACGGGGAGCGGCCAACGGTCCGTGTGTAAGTACAGAGCTATTCTATACGCAGTACTATAGAACAATGATAGCGTCATTTAGACTTCGAGTGTGTTTCGGTTGTGGCGTGACAACAGCGTTATCACATATCCTTTGGGCCGTAAATACCTGAAACTCAGAAAAAGTAATACAATAGGCAAGAATTGTCAGTACTCATGTAGAATAATAAATGCACAAACTCGTGTCTGTCTTATTAGTTAAGATACAATATGACACGTATGAATACAGAAGTTTCTCTTTATTAGTGTTTGATATAATCTGTAAACAACTTTCAAATTTCAATAAAAAATGTAGGGAACCATATACATATGTCATCTACGAGTGACGGGGCGTTGTTTTTGTACAAAGTGTAACAAGATTATACTGCCCTCGTTAGTGCGCGTCGGCTGACAAATTCATCGTCACAACATCGTCAGTGTTATAAAGGAAGGTAAATAAATAAAAATGGATTGTTCAGTTACATGCCATTTAATTATGAAAGCAAACCAGTAACAATTTAATTTGGTACTTTTTTTTTTGAGAAAATTGAAGGCTTGTTGGGTATTATTTTCGGGTGTATGCACTTATATTTGACTGTGATTGGATAATTTTAAAAACAGTTTTTTTATAGTTTTCATCTCCGAAGTAATTTTTTATAGAATTAACAGTAATATGACGCCCAATAAACTTAAAGCGTCTTCTGTCGAACGTGTTATTTTATTGTTTATAATATTTTTTTTTTATAAAAAGGGCACAAATGAGCACACAGTTCAACTGGTGGTAAGTGGATGCAGTGGCCCATAAACTTCTAAATCTACCCTCGATTAAGAATCAAAATGCAGATTGCAATGGAATGCCTTATTTTTACTAAAAAGAGTCTCCGATACTCTACATTCACCACACGAAATACAGGATCATAATCAGGAATATACTGCTGCTAATCTTCTGTTTTAGATTCCTTTTGTCATTTTTACAACAATCAGAAGACTATAGTTGTTTATTGTTATACTACCACTTCACGTTTTAATATAATTAAAACATTGCTGATAATTTCTCTGACGATAATACACTCAATTGAAAATAAATATAATATGACCTCCCTAATTACCGTACTGCTAATAAAAATAATTATATAAATAATAAAAACACCAAATATTAAGAACTCTTACGTGTTCTGCATTTCCCTATCATTGATTATATTTATATTGTATTTTGACTATGTTCAAAATAACATTAATGTTTTGTAAACTGTCTATAAACTACGTTTGATAAATTTTATTTTGTTGTGGTGACAATATTAGTGACGTTTTTAATCTCAAAATCCATTTCATACTATAAATTCCCATTAAATAGTCTATTTAACGGCTCGTGTTTAGTTTTTCAACGCAACAAAACTTTCCAAAAGGAAATTTCTTATAAAGGATGTGAGATGAAGTTTCTCTGAGCTAAAGTCATAAAACCGTAGACTTTGCTTACACAAATATAAAATGTTATTTATATTTAGAACAATTATTTTATGTAAGATTGTAAATGCATTTATCAAGCCTAAATTACTTCTGTAATAGATGGAAAAATATTTGTCAGTAATATAAATGAATTATGTCAAGTGGTTATGCCTGGCTTTTTAACTGCGTCAAGCTGTCTGTCTAACTTAAAATATTTTATAAGTTCTCATCTAGGCAAAGATTACTAGCTGGCATACATTACCTGGAAGACTGGGTCATACTAATCAATCTGGGCCAGACAAGTAAGACGGCGAAAAATGAGCACCTGAGATATGACCTGATGGAAAGTGGGTTTTGTGATACCTCCATCTATCCTGGATTAAGAATCAAAATACAAATGCGTTTTTACCCCTGAGGACTAGAGGGTGAATATTTTTTACCAGTTTTAAGGATTCTCGATTCTTGCCACTCACCTTAAAATACATTTATTAATTTATATTTGCATGCATAGCTACGAAAAACTCTAATTCAAGGTGTTCTTTTGGATTCGTAGTTTGTCACTTTTGTATAATAGTGGTTAAGATTTCTAACACGGATATAAAATATAAAAATAATTCTTACATCAAGTTTATAGTGACATACTCTTCTTATTTGCGAACCTATGTCTGAATATATTACGCTATGTAGTGTAAATATAGTGCTCACTATTAAAAATGTCCTCCAGACCGAATTTCGGTTATGGCGACTAGTCTTAAAGGAGGCTAGATATCTTTGGAGGACAGGATTAGAGTGCGTGTGTTGGGTATGTTCGCAGGCATAGGTGCACTCTATCTCATAGCCCGATGGACAGGCAAGGCAGTCAAACTCCTACTATTTAAGACTGGGACGGGAGGTCCGGCGCTTATAATAAACAGATGTTCTTGTATAACAGTCTCCTGAGTAACGGTTCAATATATAAGCCGAACTAAGCAGCCTATTGAACGCTTTTTACTCAGGCTTGAGTGTAAAAACCACAGAAACAAATCTAAGTATATTTCTATGGTAGAAACCTCAGTGACAATCGTATAGCGGGTGGAGCGTTTGGCGAAAACTAGCAAGAGTGAAAGCCGAACACTTTCTTCAAAGGTCTGAGAGGGCTTGCACTTATTCAAAAGTTGTCTTGTATTACATTTTCAAAAGTTGTTAGAAAAGTCGAAAAATATTTTTACAACAAGCAGAGCAAGTAACATTTGACCTCCGACTGTACATTAATATATAAAAAATACAGATTATTTCTTATAAACAAAATACATATGTTGTAAACGCTTTGTGTCTTGACCTATGCTCCACGGATTATTAAAAGGAACATTTGAAATCACACAAAATTCACAGCTCGTTTAGTCAATATGTTAAAAATTATTTTTATTTATTGGCAACATATTGTTACGCGCTAAAAATCGGCGCACTAGCGCCATCTAGTCTCGAACCAAATAACTAAACTTCTTGAAGTTTAAAACTCGAACTCTCGGTACCTTGCGCGTGTTTACTTGAACATTCTGGATATTTTGCTAATTTGTATAAGTAGGCGCTGCAAGATGCGATCGGGCAGAGTAGAACTCGGCGACACAAGCGAAGCTTCGGAGCGGAATTAAGTGAATTAGTGTGTTTAATTATTAGTGTTTTTAGTTTTAATTTGTGTAAAGTAAATTAAAGTGTTAATTTAGGTAATTTTATCGGCAATTTTTATTGTCACGAACCTCAAGCTCGTAACAATTGGTGTCAGAAGTGAGATAAAATTATGCCGATTTTACCTAAGGAGGAAACGGAGGGTGTTCGTACC